GCAGCCCTTCTCCAATTTGGACAGTGTGTTTGTGCACACTACTGTTAATTCCATAACTTTTAGCCTAACTCTACTTTGGCAGAGCTGACACCAAGAAACCAAAGCTTTTTTGGGTCTGCCACAGGAAAGGGCTGGACACACAGCTGTCTGCTCTTTGTGGTCATGCTACATCTGTAGCCACTCATGTGCAGACCCATAAGTATATATTTTAATAATCATAAGCAACGTCTGCAGGGAAAGCTGCTGACACTTTCCCCTCTAAAACTACTTTTTCTGCTCCTTGTGTGATTTCAAAGAATTTCCCATGGGATTCTTTTCCAGGGATAGCGAAGCCAATGACAGGCAGCTATCACTGTACAGCATTGTCACGAGCTTGCTGCAGCTTCCCGTTGATTTCTTGTGTGCCTGCCATGCAAAGTTGTCTTGATCTCCAAGCTGCAGAGATGTCCCGTGCAGGGGTGCTAACGAGTGGCTTGATAAAAGACAGTGGTCAAATAGGATTGTAACAGCAGTGGGTCTGGGGTCAGGCCTGGAGGCTTTGCAAGGGCTCTGCCATAGCACAGCAGTTTCTGTTTTGCAGACCAGTTCTGTAGCCCTCCTAATCCCCACTTTCACCCAGATGCATGGAGGCTCCTTACGCTTTAGGTGTCTAGAAGATAAGGGACACTGTTAAAAGCTAGCTGTATCCTCTTAACGTGAACACCAATGCTGGGAATTTCAAGAGATCATGAAGCTTTCAGAATGACTGATTGAGAGAAGTGATGAGCTGTGCCCTGGGACAGGAGCATTCAGGGAGAAAGGGCTGGAGGGACCTGCAAAGGCAGCTCTTCTTACAGGGGACTGCCCCATACCTCCCTAGAAGCAGTCCTGTGAGAGGATGCCATTCAAGTTCTTCCTACAAGAAGACAAGACAAGAGATTGCTCCCTAAACTCATGTTCAGGGGGGTAAATAATCTGCAAAATAGGTGTGGGAGGGGATCTGGAGAGCTCCAGTCCAGCCTCCCACTCATAGTTGCCTGGTGCAAGGTGCAGCATCAAATGTAACTAAGGACATCCTGGAGCAGGTCCTGGCCTGAGAGGGTTGATGAAGACATTCACATTGGTAGACAGAGTTGTAGTGTTTGTGCAAAGTCATTCGTACAACCTGAGGATTTTGTCTGTTAAATCAGGGGAGACTTTGGGCATGGAATAATGGCAAGTTCTGATCTGGCGGAAGTGTTTCTCAGACACAAACTGAGCTTTGGGACCCAAAGGTAGAAGCTGCCAGGCAGGCTGGAAGTATCTTGAGGTGTGGGGTGGTGATGGTGCTAATGAGGCTGTTGCATGGGACATCCTATCTCCGCCACGGGGATGGAAGAAGGTTTGGAGATACTTGTGGCTGGGGGACCTGCATACCTAATTTCTGCATCTCAACAGCAGCTTTAACACCCAGGCTGGAACAAGGCTGCTGAACTCCTGCTAGGTCTGTGTGAGAAGGCACACTGCTTGGCTCCAGCACCCTTACAGAAGGGTAAATCCGGGGCCCTAGCAGACTTGCACGCTTTGCAGGCACAATCACTCACCAGTGCCTCTTGTAGGGCATCTTCTGGTCTTCCACAGAGGCCTTGAACAGGGGGGATCAACAGGTCTCAGCTACCTGGAACTGTTTTGTTTGATCCTGGTGCCCTTTTCCAGACCTATCCTGGGAATGGGCTCCATCCTCCTTTCCCCTCCCTGCTGGCAGTCCCTCTCAGCCGAATTCCCCTGCTCTGGCTGCTCAGCACATTCAGGAATTGCCTGGGTGGCAGGCGGCTGGACGTGGCAGCCTTCCCTGCCCTTTGCCTGCTTGAAGTTGCCAGACACTGAGCAGATGGTTTCATCCACGCCCAGACAAGGCTCTGTCTACAGGGCTGACATGGGAGGTAGAGGAGATGTGTAAGTAGCTACATGCTCCCTCTGTCATTGCTTGCTTTCCCATCACTGTGCTGTGGCCAGTTAAGACTCCTGAGGAATGAAGAGAAGAGTCAAGATGTGGGATGGCTGAGCCCATGGAGCCCCTTGGCTCAGACCAGGTGTGTGGAGGCCAAGTGCCCGCAGAGGAAGAAGAGAACTCAGCTGTTGTTTGTAATGGGGACTCTTTTTGCAGGGGTTGCCAGTTACACACTGACCGTGGTGTTCGACAGCTCCCGAGGGAGGAAGCAATCTGTGTCATCTCACAGCGGGCTTCCTTAAATCTTGGCCTGATTAAGTGGTGGCAATATGGGCTGCCTGATATGAAAGAACCTTCCCTGAAAAAGGCCGATTGTTAGTGCAGAAATAGCCTGTTTAATTGTTTGCATTGTCCTGCAGTCAGAGGCTGGTAACACAGGAAATCACCAGATTCTGACTCCAGTTGAGTAGGAATCTGGAGATGAATAATGTCCATCAGCTACTGGCGTTGGTTTGGGTACAGACTGAGTCTGTTGGCCATACACCTGCGAAAGCTGCCTTTGAATGCTCTGGGGTTTTTTTCAACCTCAAGATGTTTTAGGGATTTTGGGAATATCCACTCAGCTTTTGACCTCTTGTCTGTCCTTGAAAAAGCAGCATTTGTGCTTTCTGTGGTGAGGCTACAGGCTAAAATACCCATGGAGTGCACAGAAAGATGCTGAAGTGGCATTGCTATAGGAAGAGGAGGTTGTGTGGTAGGTCCTTGAAACAGTTTCTCCTGGATTTATACTCTAGATTTTAGACACATTTGTGAATTTTCCATCAGCACATACGCCGAGAGCTGGTAGGTCTGGAAAGGGAGTTTGAAACTCAGACAGAAAAATTGCTGTATCTAGATACGTCAGAGTTATTTATTCATTGTGTAGAGATAAAAGCTTTTTTGATAGAGTGCAGTCATCTTAGCTTGTGGCTGTTGTTCTTCTTAGTTTCTTGTGTATTTTAAGGATCTAAATAATTATAGTGGCTGATGCTCAGAAAAAGTACAGTGCAAACTGAGCTGCTGTTTCTTCATGTTTTTTTGCTTTCGTACTCAGAAAGCAGTAAGCTGGGGTCTACTTTTGGAGCAGGTCCTAGTACTCAACAGGCAAGAACAGAATATTGCCAACTGCAAGTTGTCTGAGGTGGTGTGTTTGTGCTGATATACAGGCCAACAGTGGTGCTTTGCGGATTTGCGGAGCAGAGAGGTATCGAGGTAGTATAAAGGCCAGCATTTATCCTTTTTAGCTATGTAGAAGCCATAAATTAAGAGTTGTCTGCTGGGATCCTTGGGAGACATCATGAGTTTGCAGCTTGTTGGTTTGGAGGAGCTGCAGGTTTTGCTGCTCTGCTGCCCATCTGGAGACAGTCTGCTCCTTGTCTGCAGGTTCTCAGTACTGCAGACAGAAAGGTGGGACAGCCTGGCACACTGCTTGTTTCAGCATGCTGGTTAGAAGTAACATTAAACTTGGAGATATTTATATGCAAATTCTCTTTGAAAAGCTTTCAAGGAGGCCTTGCCATCCTTTACTGATAAGATGTGGGATTTCTCACTCCCTGTTGAAAGGCAGGATTCAGAATGTGTCATAACTCTTGAGCAGTGCTGTTAGACATTGCGTGGCAACTACAACCTCTTGCTCAGGAGATGGGCTGAGGAGCAGGCTGAGTTTGCAGGCAGCTGGGAAGGCACTGTCAGGGGTGGGATCACTCTATACTCACCTTGTTTCTTCTGGCCTTTACCAAGTTGCCTGCCACTGCTGGGGAAGAGCACTAGCCTTGGCAGACTGCTGCTCTCACCCACTACGACTTGTACCATGGGCCAGGTACAGATGCCCAAGCTTCCTCCAGTGGTGCAAACAGAGCTTCAGTATCTACTACCAAGGGAGTTCATTCTGTGAGCAGTCCCTGACTCCCATGCGACATGATGAAGAGTGGCTTAATTTCACAGAGCTTGGGGATGACCACTTCCACACTGTGTAATCATTGGCTCAGGTCTCCTCTGGACCCCTTGCAGTGCTCACTGGCTCTGAGACACCATCAGGAATTGCTGGGGTTTCAGCAGTCCCAGATTCCTGTGATCTCAAAGAGGTATGGCAGACCAAGCACACACCATCACGTGCAATGACCTAGGAGATGCTGAACTGATCTCCAAACGACAGCCCATGTGCACATAGCTGTACCTGCAGTGTGGAAGGACAGTCAGAGACTGGGACCTGGGAGCAAGACAGGAAGCAAAGCCATTGGGCAGTCCTGTCCATCCCAGCTATTCCTCTTGCCTCTGTGATAAGCATTGCCCTGGACTGCTTGGACAAGTAGGAGACCTCAGTTTCCATAGAGGGGCCTAGTTCAAGACCCAAAACTTACTTCGATGTAGGGTCTAGGATCTAGAGCCACTGTCTTACTCCTCCTCTCGAATCATTCTGGGGTTATCTGTTTCATTCCTCAAGACAGTTAAAGCCTCTCTAGAGCCAGATGGCAGCTGTTAATACCTTTCTTGGGATTTAGATGATGACGTGTCATGCTGAGGGACCCTTTCCTATGCAGATACCAGCTGTCACATTAGGGCATGGGTGGGGCCAGCCCTCTGGGGTGTTTTGCTGAAGGAAGCAGGGCTTGCCCGAGTGTGCAGCACTGAAGGCCAGCTGGTCTACCTGGCCTGGAGGTAGTGTAAAGCCACTCTAGACTCACGTTGTATTTCTCATCTGTCTGCCTTGGGGACAGGCAATGCCCCAGTAGGGGCTTGATTGCTGTGATCATTTGGACTGTTCAGAATCTGATGTGTCTGACTGTCCTCTGGTTCTTCTAGGATCTGATAGTCCCACTCCCAAACACACCTTTCTCCAATCTTCTCCCCTCTCTTAGTAACAGTGTTAGCCCTGCTGTGTTCATGTCTTTCCCAGTCTCCTCCTTCCTTCCCCACAACATACTGACCATCTTCACCTGTGCTGAGTCCAGTTCACCACCTGCCCAAATCTCTCTGCAGCTCATCACCACCAGTGTGTCCTGAGAGGCTGGCAAAATTTGCAAAATGAAAATGTCTTCTACCACATTTTTCAGTTTTGCCACCAAAATTTGACAGAGCCTGGAGCTGCTTCTGCTGCCCTGCGTGTGCTCAGTGACCTGGAGAGGATCTAGCCAAGTCTCTCCTTAGCAGTTCCCAAGCTATTCTTTCTCTCATGTAAGTTCTCTTATAATAATGATCTGGTCCTAAGCAGCAGGAGAAGTTCAGCTTTGAGACTGATATTTGCCCCCATCTCTTTCCTTTCTTTCAGACCGTGCTGCTCTGGGAGGAGAGGGCAGCTCTTGGAGGATGCTAGTCGTGAGGAAGCCTATTGGACCACCACAACTCACTTGAATACTTTGATCCCAAATTCTGCTGTTATTAAAATAGGCAGTAGGCTGGCAGCTGGGACGTGTGAGAGCAGACGAGGTGAGTTCATGGGAAGAGGACAGCCTTCAGTTTAAGCACTTGGGGACCAGCTGGTGTTTCATTGAGATCCTGCAGGGTTTTTGCTATAGGTGAGAAGGGGCTGTCCTAGGGAGCAGGGGCTCAGGAGTGTGATCCCATGGGGATGTCATCTGCTGTTCTGGACATACCTGAGCTGCTCATCTGATATCTTGGCTTTGGATTGGGTTCATGTTTGGAGAGATGTGCCCAACCTAGTTTGCCTAATCCCTGGATTGTACTTCTTAATGACAGGACTTTTTGTTAGCTCCTTCCTGCCTGTTGCCTCGAACTCTGTGGCATCTCTTTTTGTATTTCCTCTCCCCCATTTCTAGACTTGTCTATGTATTGCTGCAGAAGTGCTTGGGATCCAGCCTGGCTGAGATCATCTCCATGATGGGCCCAATTTTCTAGCTTCACCCTTTCCCTTGGTTTCAGGGTGGATCATGAGGATAATAGAGCATCTTTCAGTTGATTTAATTTTTGGAGGGATTTGAGTTCCCTGGAAAAACTCCCTGGAGAGACACTCACCTTAACCATGATTAAGGCCAACAAAAATCTGGTGGCTGATCCTCTGACCAAAGAGGGGCTGGGTTTGATCAGTAGATGAGCCTGGGGCATCTACTGGAAACTGATCGTTTTGGGGGCTTTACTTGGTGTGTTTTCACTGTCTGGGCTGTACTACACTGAGCAGACCTGCTGGGTGACACACCGCTATATGTGAGGGTGCCTTTATCTGGAAGAGGGTCCATCTGTTCCACAAGGTGTCTCTTAGTTTTCTCTTTAATATCCTAGGGATTCTTTTCAGGCGGAGAACGAATAAGGAAGACTGAGGATGCAGATTGGAATGGAAGAAAATGCCAAGTGATTAAATGGCTCTAGATGAGTGGAGATACGGCTTAAGAGATTGATGGTTGCCTGCTGGGTGGAGAGATGGAAGAAAAGATTACACTCATGTGCACCAGGATTGCAAATCCACTCATCCCCTCCTCCATGTTAAATTGCGGTTGTTTCTTGGTTTTAGCCTTCCCATGTGTAAACTTTCACAGCTCTGTACTGCACCTTTATGGCCCCATCTGCTGTTTCCATCTCCCAGAACCTCTTATCTGGTTTTGGGGGAAAAAGCCTATAAAATAAAACTTGTGCAGTGACACAAGCTGTTTGCTGTGCCAGTGTTTTCTTTGGCTTATGTATCTCTGGTGCATTCTTGTATATGCATAACTGTGTGTGTCAGAGTTAAAGTACACAGATGAGGGCTAATTCGCAGGCAGCTGTGCAGATACAAAATGCATCGAGTATCAGTGTGTGCCTCAGAAGATGTAATACTTTTTGGGTGCTTTCTTGAAACATGCTCTTACGAGAGTGGCTCTAATGCATTCTGGACACTGCAGCTCATGGGCAGAAGCTATGGCTCTCTGACCAGGTCTCTCTGTGCTCACCCCATGTAGGATAGAAACCCAGTAACTCGACAGGACTGTACTTGACGTGATTAACCTGGAGTAAATTCCTCTGTCCCTCCCATGGTGGTGCTTTATCCGATCTCCAGGACCCAGGATGAACACTTGTGGGAGGAGAGCTGGTAGGGCATGCAGGCGGGCTGCGAGGCAGTGTGTGGGACTGGGGTGGCTGTGAAGGTAGGCAGGTATGGCAGGATGGTGGGAGAGGCTGGCCTGGTTGGGGAAGGTCTGCTGTGCCCAGCAGCACCTAGGTCTTGGGGATAAGGGTGGCCCCTGAGCGTTTCCTGTCCCCCACTAGGTGGCACTGGGAGCCCTGCTATGGTGTCCCTTGTTCCCCAGCCACACAGACCGGCCTTTCCCTCTGCCGGGCCAGCACCCACGGCTCTCCTGGGCAGGGAGCTGGGGACAGAGGGACCTGTGCATTGCACACCAGCCCTTTTCCATTAGGAGCTGGGATGTCATGTGGGAGCTTCTGTCTCACACACGGTGCCTGCAGGAACTAGTGCTTCACATGTTATGTCAGAAGCCTGTGCCTCACACGCTGACCTGGCCACATGAGAAGTCATTGCATTGCATGTGTCTTGCTGGGAGCTGGTGCTCTGTGAGCATCCTGGTGACAGTCAGTGTGTCTCACCAGGACCTGGTGCATCATGCGTGTCCCACTGGGAGTCACTGCACTGCACATCTCCTGCCAGGACTAAATGCATCGCAGGTGTCCTGTGGGAGTCACTGCATTGCCGCTGCCCTGCTGGGAGCAGGCGTGTCACCAGTGGGCCATGCTCTGGTGGGAGCTGGTGCATTACGTGTCCCCTGATGGGAGTTGGCACAACATGCACGCTCTGGTGAGAGTTTGTGTGTCACACAGGCCTCTGCCCTGCTGGGATTCAGTGTGTTTTGCATGTGTTCTGGTGGTAGCTGGCATGCTGGCTCTGCCCTAGTAGGAGGTGTTGTGTTGCCTGTGTCTTGCTGGGAGCTGGCGTGTCACATACATCCCTCTGAGAGTCCTTGCCTTGCATGTATCCTGCTGGGAGTCACTCAGGCCCTTGTGTCCTGTTGGTACATCTTATGGGGCTCAGCCCCACTGGGAGCCAATGCATCACCCCCCTACTGGGTGGCAGTTCATCATACGCATTATGCTGGCGGTCAGGGCATCAGCTGGGAGCTGGTGCACCACACATTATCCCTCTCTGGCTCGGAGTCAGTATGTCATGTGTGCTGCTGGGAGGTAACGGGTCCCATGTGTCCCTCTAGAAGCCTGTGTGTTGCCCTCCAGCTCTGCCTATGAGCTGGTGCAGTGTATGCTGACTGGTCCTCGTGAGAAGTCGGAGTCTCACATGTCCTGCTGGGAGCTGGTGCATCACACACGTACTGGGACTCTTGCTCTACCTTGCTAGGAGTCAGCATGTCACATCCTGTCCATGTCCTGTAGCAGCCAGCACATTGCACACAGTGTCCCCTCCTCTCTATGCCAGTCTGTTGCACAGCAGCCCATTCCCCTGGTTTTGTCCCCTGTCACCCAGTCCAGCAGACATGATCTCCTGCTCCCATGATGAGGATCAAGGACAGCAAGCCACAGCTTGCTCTGTGGCAGGCTTCCTGTCTGCAGTGGACACAGTGATGCCCTGGCACTGTGATTGTTTTAATTTATTTTTAATATCTGTAGTGCTGAGAATTAAATGGCATTAAATAAGCACACATCAGAATCCCCACCATCCTCCTCTGCTGTTCCCAGGAGCAGCAGCAGGTGACAGATGTCTCTCCATGCCTCTCCGGGTGCTGATGTTGCAGTCTGTCTGTCTGTCTCCCACCATTGTGCCCTGTCCTCCAGGACCTGCCCGGACAGACTTGCTGTCCCAGCTCTGCCTGACGCATCCCGCCATGGCTGGAGCTTCCCCAGCCCCCACTGCAGGGCCCAGCACCCTGCTCTGCGGAGGCCATGGTGGCATGTGAGGGAATGGCTGGCGGCAGCACAGCTGGGCTCAAAGCTGCTGGTCGCTTCAGAATGGGGTGCCTCTGGCTTTGGTGGTGTGCAGTGAAGCAGGGAGAAAGGATGGCTTCGGTGGCACATCTCCACCCTGGGTCACTTGCGGCGCCAGGTGGGGTTTTGTGGTGGCTGCTCCCTCTCCATGTGTGTGCCGTTCCAACACACGGCGCACAAACTTCCTGCTCTTCTCCTACAGCTCCCCCTGCTCCAGGGCTGGCTTGCAAGGATGCAGAGCCTTCCCTCAGGTGCCATGCCCTTTCCTCGTGCTCCATGGCCTTCCTGCAGGCTTCATGCCCTTCCCCCGAGCCCATGGGCATCTCAGGCCCCCTGCCCATCCTTCAGTCCCCATGCCTTTCTCTCAGTTCTCCTGTCCTTGCCTCAGGCTTCTGTAAGGGCTGTGGTGTCTTCCCACTGATTCCCACTGCCAGCTCCCCATTGCTGTGGCCTGTGTCCCTCAGGGAGACTCCACACCCCCATGCCTGCTCACTCTGCACTTCTAAATCTTCCCTTCTCCATGTCCAGGCCTCTGCTACTCTTGGTGGCTTTCTGACTGTCCTGCACTTCCCCCAGTGCCCTGTCTGGTGGCTGCTTTTCTGGGGGATGTGGTAATAAGGTGCCCACCATGTGGGTGGCATTGCAGAGAGAGATGCTTGCGGGAAGGATGATGCCATGGGGACTGAGGGAGAGTTCAGCCATTCTGTGGTTCTGGGATTCTTTGGTATAAGGCAGATAATGTGATCTGAAGCAGCCAGCATTGCAGATTTGTTGAGAGCTGGCAGCAGTTACATGAAGCTTCCCTTCTTCCCCCTCGCTCTGAGCAGCCATGGTGTGGGTAAGAGGAAGGCTCAAGTCCTGTTAGTATGGCTCTCCCCCTTCAGAGCAGCTTTCTCAGGTTCCCTGCAAACTCAGGAAGAGGTGTCAGTGCTTTGGGGCCATTCCTAGACTTTCTGGAACTGGAAGGAGAGAGAAAACAAAAAGAGAAAAATCTTATTTCTGTCCTTCTGGTGCTTGTTGTTTGGCTGGGGTGTGGCTGTGTGATGGGACTGATGGGACAGAGGGGACCAGGGCGTCTCTCAGGGGTCCTGGCTAGCCTCTCTGATAAAGTACAAGAGTGTGTGAGCTGCTGGAGCGTGTCCAGAGGAGAGCCACCAAGCTGGTGAGGGGTCTAGAGAACAAGTTGTATGATGAGAGGCTGAGGGAACTGGTCATGTTTAGTTTGGAGAAGAGGAGGCTGAGGGGGGACCTCATTGCCCTCTACAACTACCTGAAAGTAGTAGAGAGTGGGTGTTGGCCACTTCTCCCAAGGGAATAATGACAGGACCAGAGGAAATGGTCTGAAGTTGCGACAGGGGAAGTTTAGATTAGATATTAGGAAGAATTACTTTACTGAGAGGGTGGTCAGGCACTGGAATGGCCTGCCCAAGGGGGTGGTGGAGTCACCATCCTTGGAGTTATTTAAGAAACGTATAGACGTGTTACTTCAGGGCATGCTCTAGTGCCCGAGATTATTGGTTTGTGTCTGTTTGTGGGTGGGTGTGGGGGTGTGGTGTGGTTTTGGTTTGTTTCTGGTTTTGTTTAGGTTTTGGTTTTTTTTTTTTTTTTGTGGTTGGACTCGATGATCTCAGAGGTCCTTTCCAACCATGAATATTCTGTGATTCTGTGATTTTATGTCTATGCCATACAGTCAGGTGCAGGACTGAGGAGCAGTCCTGGAGCACAGAATCATCCAGGGTTTAGGCCCTTGCATGCTGCTGACCATGGGATAGGAAGTGCTGGCACTTGCCTGCATTGAGCCTCACAAGTGAATGGCTGCATAACTGTCACCCCACTGCCTGCATCTTTCTCGGTTACTCACCACTGGCCTGGGCTCTCCTGTGAGTGGGAATGGATGGCAAGTGTGTTAGTTTCCCACACAGAAGAAAGTTAGTGGCATGCTTCAGGTCGGTGTTTGGAAGGACATGATCTACAGCTGGTGAAAGGGACTGGCAAGATGTGCCGGCAGTTAGGTACGTGTGTATGTACCAGCCAGCCCTGGAAGGAGCTGCCAGACTTCGCTTCTCCACACATGGCTGAGTTCCTGGGCCAGGGGAGTTCAGTACCTCAGCAGGTTGAAATGGGAGAGACAGGTAAACAAGGAAACTGGTGTTGTGGTTTCATCCTGGTAGGCAGCTCAGCACTACCAGCCGCTCAGCTGGTCCCCCACAGTGGGATGGGGAGAGAATTGGAATGGTAAAAGTAAGGAAACTTATGGACTGAGATAGTTTAATAAGTAAAGCAAAAGCTGGACACACGAGCAAAGTAAAATAAGGTATTCATTCACTCCTTCCCACCAGCAGGCATGTATTTCGCCATTGTCAGGGAAGCAGGGCTCCGTCATGTGAAATGGTGACTTGGCAAAACAAATGCTGTCAGTGTGAATGTCCCCCACATCCTTCTTCTTCCCCCCATTTTCCATTGTGGAGCATGATGTCATATGGTATGCAATATCCCCTTAGTCGGTTGGGGTCAGCTGTCCCAGCTGTGTCCCCACTCAATTTCTTGTGTTCCTAGCCTGTTTGCTGGTGGGGCAGCGTGAGAAACAAAAAATGCCTTGACACTGTGTAAGTACTGTTCAGCACAACTAAAACAGCCCTGTATTATCAAAACTGTTTCCATCACAAATTCAAAACATAGCACTGCCTAAGCTACTATGA